CTGGATTCAGTACCCCAGTAACCCTTTCCACAGAATCCTCTGGGTGTAGCAATTCCTGTTTCCAATCACAATCGTTTCACCAACCACCCCCAGGGACTGTTTTCCCCCAAACACCCACCCACTTCTGTCCCATGTGAGAACTGGGCAGCRCCACCAACCCCCCACAGTCACCCCACAACTCCCCAGATATTTTATTTCAGTGGTTATTCAGCTTTTAGTGCATCCTGAATCCAGATTAGACAAAATAATATCCCAAAAAGAGAGAAATCTGCCACAGCACGAAATTGTGCTGAAGATCACAAGATGTGCAAAGGTCACAACTGCTCTGCTGTGCCTTAGGGCAGCATCCTGTGCATCCAGAGTGCAATCCAGAATTTTAACWGGTCCAAAAGCTGCCAGGCTGGCGTTTTAAAGGGAGGTGAGGTTCCCACATGAATGCAGGGGTTGGTGCTTTAARCCAAGTGCCAGACATTGGTAACATCACCTGATTTCATCTTAGTAAAGCCACAAAAATCCTCTGTTCCCTGGCTGGAGAAGGCAGCCCTCAATCAGCACCTCTCCTGGATAGCAGGGACAGGCAGGATCTTGGCAGGCAGGAGTTGGGCCTTTCCAGCTCWGGAATGGCCCAGACTGGTTTAATTATCACCGTTATCTCATCTGCATCTCCTGCTGTTAARAAACACTGGAGGCTTTTGTGGAGGCACAAACGAGCTTTGTCAGGAGTTGTTCTCCTGCTTCCATCATCTCCTTTCCAGGAACAGGGGGTGCTTCCTGCCTGTCCCACAGATATTCCARCACTGGGGCTCCTGCCAAGCTGCTGCTGCCTCAGGTGGGCTGGGAAAAATTCAGTGTCCATGGAAGAGTTTGATATCCACAGGGAAAAACTCCTGAGATGGGGAGGAGCTGAAACAGCTCCAGTGGTGGTGGTGCTGTGAGGAGGGGAGTGGGACAGGGATGGGGATGGAGGGAGGGATGGATGGACACAGGGATGGATGGATGGAAGGATGGATGGATGGATGGATGGATGGATGGATGGATGGATGGATGGATGGATGGATGGATGGATGGATGGACAGGGATGGATGGAGAAGTGTTGTCCCCTCTCCCAGAATGTCCATCCTGATGGAGAAGAGTGGTCCCCCCTCCCAGAAAATTCACCCTCACAGAGAAATGTGGTCCCATTTCCCAGAAAGTCCATCCTCATGGATGTGTGCTCCCCTCTCCCACAAT